CTTGCCTTCTTGGAACTTGTAATCATACGTACTAAAATGTGATGCTGAGTTTTCCTCAAAATTATCCTCCAGAAAGGAGGGAATCATTGTATTTGATCTGCTTATAAAATCAGGGATGCTGTTGGCTTGCTTCAGAAAGCTCTGTGTAGGCAAGCTTGACGCAGACTTATTCAGGGCTAGCTTTAGATGCTTCTCATCGAGGCCATCTGTCAGAAATGAAAAGAGGCAGAGAGATTGAGCACAGCTTTTATTTAGAAATTATTTAAAGGAAGAATTTCACAAGTTACATGTGTTGGGTGTCTGGTAAGCAGGCCTTTTAAGGAGCATATTACAGAGCTCTGTAGCAAATATTACCTTGTGGACACCATGAATACATACTACCAGAAGAGTGAAATGCCCAGTTGCTCTAATGCTCTGTGAGTGTGTACTTAAAGCTTGAGTAAAGTGTCCACTGTGGGCTCATGTGACATTCATATATGGCATTGCCAACAGCCGAGCCAATTAAAGATGGTGAGCTGCTCTGTGACTCCAAAAGTTGATCTAATGGCAGAAAAGCTGCTGGTACTGTCATGAAATGTGAAGTGTGGAAAAAAGCAGTACTTGTAAACAAATATATTATTTTAAGTGATCGATGATCTTTAAGTAGTTTATGTAGCCAAATCTATGTAATAAATATTGTAGACATTTGATTGTATTAACTCTAGAAGTGTGGGTAGCTAGAAACTTTTTTTTTTTTAGCTTTCCATTGGAAAAAATGCAGAAATAATTTAATTTTGAGGTTGCCTCTAGTTGGGGGTATTTGGTTATTTAGTAGAGAGGACTTGACATAATAAAGGAGCAGTTACAGTAAGAGATGCTAAGCTGCTGCAGTAACAGGAGACAGGGGAGCTTCCAGAATTGGAGAGACAAGAATGGGCACCAGGCTTAGCCTGGGGACGCAGGGCAGACTTCTTGGAGGAAGTGATGCCCAAGCAAAACCTGAAGGGCAAATAGGAACTAGCCTGGTGGAGGTCAGGGAGGAAGTGTCTGAGAAGGAGGCTGGACAGAGTCCCAGGGCAAGCCAATCAGAAAATGCAAGCAGTACAGAATG